AACCGGTCGTGGGCTGTCGATGGATTTTCAGCAACCTTATGGGTAGTACATTACGAAGAAGCGAAACGCTTTTTGCATTCCCCAAGATAGTTTTACCCTCTTTATTTTTACTGTCACAATTTCAAGCCTCTTAAACGTGACACAAATTACAAAAGTTCAAACTGCTCGAAACGTTTGGGGTTGCCCGCGTAACAGGTCAACCCAGCAGGCTGGCTTAAAGTCTCAGCTTACCAGTGACCGTGGATACCAGTATTCACTGTGCACCTGAACTGTCCCATTTCGTGTGCGAAATTAGGGTAGGGTGCTCAGCGTACATCAAGCGTAAAGAACAATATCAGACAATTTTCAAACTTCCAGCTTGCAAATTCGTAGCTGTAAATGATGTTTGAAAGGAGGGAGATTGCACTGTAGTTGATGAAATGGCCTCTTAAGAACACAAAACGACACATTGCTGTCGTGCTTTGGTCAATATATTGACCAAATCCTGGGTTTTTGATTACAGACTTAAGGCTATTATAGCTGAATTAGGTTTTTTCAAAACTCTAAACTTAGATAAAATATAATCCTTTCCGAACTTTCTGAAATATTACTAGACTAAAATTTATTAAACAGAAACAGTGCTCTGCTTCCTAGGTGTATTCATAAACAAATGTTGCAACAGATAACCTCAATTGAACAATTGAATCCAAACTAAAAATTGCTAGTGAAAAGGCTTTACTCTGAATTAAAGCATATTTAACACCTCCACTTTTCATTCATCTTGGGTGACCTTCATCGCTACTGGATTCAACACCATCACAAGGAAAGAGATACAGAATAAAAAGTATCTACACCATTTAAAAGGATATCTTTCTGGTCACTTTGTGAAAATAACATGTGGGTGTTATGAATATGAGATTAGCTGGTCACGCAATTACTTTGGGTTCCAAAACGTGATCGCATAACGGATCTGATGAAACCAAGGCACGTAGTCCCTAATTTCGCCGTGACAATCTGCCTACACGGCTTAATACAGATCATCTAAAAAAATTCCAAAAGCTTCAAGCGGTTTTTCTTTACGTTTCTAAAAAGGTTCACTGTAGAATGAGATAAGCAAGTCTCATTTTTTGATACCATTCAAGAAATTGATGTTAATTTCAGAGAGCTTTTAGTTCATTTCTCTTTCCCAAGATGGGGTGAATTTGCCTGTGTTCTCTCATTTGGTAAGATAGATTTAGGTTCGGTGTTATACTTTTCACTTCACAATACCAATTTGACTCCATCAAGAACACTAACTAGCTGTATTTTTAAGTTTGAAACAAGACAATTTTACGAAGTTGTGTCCCATTAACTGATTTTTTGGTAACCATAGTCTTGAAGTGGCGGATGGCGTTGCGTCACTTGTTAATCGTTTGTTGCTGGATGAAGTTTACATCAAACTGATCGTGTACTCACGATCCTTTAGAACGCCGGGTTTAGTTTTCCATTACTGACCATACCGCGTACCCCACCAGATTAGTTGCCTGATTTTTAAAGTTATTGCTAACCTCCATTTTCTGGCTTTACAGTGTGGTCTCCACTCACTAATCGGGGAAGATTATACGTCAGAATTCAGAATAAATCTTCTTGCACCTATTTTGCGTTAGTCAAAAAGGAACGCAATATTTGTGGCGGATAAAGGATCATTTCTAGCACACGAAAAGGCAGGAAATGTGAAAGTGACATCCCAAATATTGTTCACTTAAACAATCTTATTCCAGTAGATCCCCTTAAAGGCAGTGAAGTTTTAGTGGCTTCCAGCGACTTTGTTTGGAACAGAGGAGTGGTCTTGCTAAATAATTTGGTAAGCGCCAAATCACAAAACGTCATGGTGTACACGCTGGGCTTGGAATCGTCTAAACGGTCAACAAAATCCAGATATTAATACTGTAAATGAATCAGAGAGGATTCAGAAAACTTTGTACATGACCAAAAGCGGATCTAAGGCTGTTGCACTGAACGTTAGCAACGATAAGCGAGTTGTCTCAAGTGGCTATATATACCCGTGGTAGTCATG